TACACAAATTTTTATTACCTACACGAAACCATTAGAATTGTGTTTGATATTGGTAAGTAATTGTTTTAAATCAAATAGAACAATTATTGTTCTATGTATTTCATAATGGATATCATGAAACAATATTAATGAACATCGATTGAAGAGATAACATTGGCAATTCATCCTTGCTTAATTAAAACAGCTATAGCTCTATAGAGAACGGTGATTTATTTTAAACCATTTAAATAAACCATTGAAATTTTAACATCTAAATCGAATTTAATTCAGTAGAAAATCATCTGCAGTGGCAGCAACAGGTGGTCGCGGAAGCAACACCTCGAATCGAAAAGAAGGCAGAAGTGAAAAAGTGAAAAGAAACATACTTAAAAGCATTAAAATAAATGTCGATTCCTTATTCCTTTTGCAAATAAATTTCCACATAATCCGAGCGTTCTCTCTTCTAACGCGACGAATACAGTAGTTGTGTTATTCTTATAAGGCCGTATTCTAAATATTCGAAATTTTAAGGCAACCGGCAAATATTCGAAACAGCCACGACTGATAAACGATCTATTGTTTACCCTAGTATGAAAACTTCCGCCGTTCCTATCTACAATCTTCGAAATTCTCCAAACATCTACATTGGCCAGTTCGCACAGAATTAATTACCGAGAAACGTCACTGCTTACATAATCTGAAAAAGTTCTCCTTAATACTTTCTACAACAACGACAAAATATTATAAATGTTTAAATAAACGACATTTCAGTCACGAGTTTTAATTATGCACGAGCGACACTCTATGGAAAAGTTTATAAACGAGTACTTAATCTACGACGAACACAATATTATTTGTTAAACATTTGACGTCTGACCAAATTTTAATAAAGCTAACTTCAGCATAAAGTTACAGCTTGTCATAGCACATTATAGACCAGGCGAAGAAAGCACATATTATCGCCGAGCATACATTTCAGTGAACTGTGTGCAAGACAACCTTTCGCCGCCGGGTTTTAAAAACTATTTTTTTAAGCATTTAATTAATTTCTTAAGATGTCACATCATTTTTAGATCAGGTTAAACTGACGTGATGGTGTTTTACCTTTATTTCTGTACGGAGTTTAATAATAATTTAACTTTTAAAATAGTATTAAAATGAATTTATTCTACAGTGACATGTAAGTTTACATTTTCTTTGATGATTTTGAGCTAAACGCGATAGATGAAATCACTTTTCCTATTTAATTTCAATGTACTATCATTATTATACGGCGGTGTATAATAATTGGACTTTTGAACTCCGTACAAATATTAAGACTTTCTATATAGGCTAAAGAGTATTATAATTTGAAAATTGTAATATGCTTGAAAAAAAAAGTTTTTTATGATACGAAAATTAATGTACGTTCAAAAAAAATTGTTTTTTATGTTCCTAGTTTACGAAATTGAACTTTCGTGATTGAGGCGTTTTCGAAAATACCAAAGAAATTTTGCGCATGAGGTGCATACAATATATTTTTACAACTTTATTGAAAAATAGTATATTACACTACAAGGGCAGAAAGTGTGAGATTCCTGCACTGCGCGCCATGATGCCCGAGGCGTAAACGTAAACTTTCTGCCGTGGAATCGGGGACGAAACAACGTATTTTTAGTCGAGGTAGTAAGAAAATAAAATTAATATTTTATTTTTTTGCTGCATTACTTTTTATTGAAATAACATTGACATTTGTCAACTTACTTTGTTCATTCACACCCTAGTGCGCCAATGTTAAATTTGCGCACGTCGCGACGCGTCGTCAAGATAAAAAATACATTTGCGGTAGGTAAACAAAATGAATGTGACGTTTTTCAAACGTTTGTATACATATCAATAAAAAACTGTTTTTAATAGTTGTAGAAAAGATCACCTACACGGGAAAAATAAAACAGTAACCATTGGATGCGCAGAACACTCAATAAACTATTGGAAATAATATTAAATGAAAGAATATTGATCACTATAGTTCCTGGCACTACCCACTGATGTGACAAAAATAAACATAGCTGTTGTCAAAGTAGCCAGTGAGGTTTTAATAAAAATGGTATGATTTTAAATAGTTCATTGACCTTGACGTATATTGAGTGGATTAGTGTTCTGCACATCAATGGTTACTGTTTTATTTTCTCCGTGTACGTAATTGTTTTGATCTTTGCTTAATGGAATAATATAAAGTGTCTAGAACATGAGCCTAGGTTTAATTGGCTTTTTAATTAAGGTTACTTTATTCTAAATATCGATACACAATCTTAACATATTTAATTAAAGTATTTAAAACGTATTAATATTAAAACCGGATCATTTAGGATTTCCTAAATGTAAGCCAAAGAAATCTTTTTTAAGGCATTTCATGCTGAGAACATAACGACCATTAAAGTTAATAATATGTAATTATCCACCTAATCTTTTTCTTATTTTATTTAAATTTAAATTAATCCTATTTAAATTAACATTTTATTTTATTACCCAATTCCCGAGATTATATATTTCGATTGCAATCTTCTATGATGATGAGTCCGTCATATACTATTACAAAACGTTTCTCGATATGCAAAAACGTGCTCGATCAGCATTAAACAAATATAAGTATAAACCTTCTTAATGATTATTAAATACCCTCCTCTCTTTATATTCTCCATCTTCAGATTGGATCAAATGGCGTGCAGATAATAGGTTACCTTGTCCGTTCCTCACAAAAGGTTTATCGCGAAATTGCCTCATTCTGTGTGTAATATGTTCGCAAATAATATGAACGATTTTTCCTTTATTTTCAGTAACCGGTTGTGTCTCTCCCAAATATAAAAATCAAGCAAGTTTGGGTTACGTTGTGAAATTAATAAATAATAATAAATTTTATAGTCATCTTAACACATAGGTATATTATATAATATATAATATTTTATTATCACACAAGACAAGAAGCTATTAATAAAACTAAAAGGAAAACGGTGTTTCTGAGATATAAATGATTAATTTATTTTACTTCATCAAACCTAATAAATGTCAAGTGTGGGCATTTATGAATAATTTTTAAACATTTGGGGAATACAAAAACATATTCACACAAAATAAGCTGATTCCCATAACCTTCGGCGAAGGAATTGAATTACGAACTTGGTAAATAACAAACTAAAGTGAAATATAATTTCGATCTTCTCGGATTTTTAACCCATGCAGTATCATTATTCATTACTTGGCATTTTTATTTGACAGACTTACGCATCACTAAATTATTTTAATATTTATAATAATAATTATTGAAGAATTTTAATTATTCTTTCACATCTATAAAAGATGAATTTATTACAAAATTGCGTTTTTATAAACACATTAAAATGTAAATGTTGGTCAATTGACAAAAATTCTGACCTTTCTTAAAAAATTCTATAAAATTAGTTTTGAAATTAAAAACTTGGTTATCTGATTGGAAAATTAACCCTTTGCACTTTGTAAACAAACCATTAATTGGGGAAAATTTATGGAAGAAATCTTGAAATTTCTATCAAAATTCGTATTTATCATTGGAACAGCCTTACTAAAATTACTTAACCAATTTAAATCAATTAATAATTAGACGCTCCAATAAATATAAATCAAGCCAATAAAAGAACAAGATCCGTTAGGGCATAGGTATTTATTTCCCCAATTAATTTCTTTACTGCTCCAATTTCATAGTGCCAAACCGATATATAACCCAAGGCGATGTCGGATTGTCCAATAAGGTCTAGGCACTATAAATGGTAACAATTAAAAATAATAGCCGGCTAAAAACGGTTAATATGGCCGGTTCGTAGTTCGCTCTTGAACACAAAGAATTTTAATTGATTGCTATTAATTGACCCTCCTATTAACATGGGATCGAGGCCAAAATGTTTGACCCGTTTGCAATTATTCAATTGTTGTTCGGTAAAAACAATAAGATTGACCGCTTAGTGCGTAAAATTGGTAAAAAATATTATCCGAGATCTCATCGGTTGCCATTTTATTCTTGAACCTGCTCGATCAATGGACAATTAATCTTTAATGGCCCAAATACTAAACTCTTAATTTATATCACTGGTAGCCATACAAAGATGCTGTCAAGGTTAAGATAATCTAGGATGCTTCGTTAAAAAAAAATGTTTTAAGATTCTTGACCTAGTAAATAGTGTATATAGGGCGAAACAATTTCTGGGGATTCTGGGGGTCTGTACTTTCAAGGTGGACAGCGACTTTTGGGACACCCTGTATATTCAACTAATTCAAAAGAATTTAAGCTTCCTTAAAGAATAAGACATGGTTGTTTTTTATTAGTGATTGGTCAGTTCACATCTCAGCATATTTATTTATCGTATCCTGTGCACTAATACAACACCGATTACGTTTATTTTCCAAAGCGACGGGGACGAACAAGAAAAAGATTAAATAGATTGATTATTGAAAGACTGGCCCACCCATTTCATTATGCATTTTAGACTTAAATCCTTTTATCTGATCCAGTATCCAAAAATTGAAGTTTGAAGATTCGAGATATTGACTGCCCTTTCCGTTTCGACAATCGAAATCTGGCATCTCCATTTATTATCCATTTTCGTTATTGTTTCACAAATTAACACATCCGTTGGAATCTCGACTAAAAAATTAGTTTCGTTCTAAACCGATAGAAATGGCATTGCGTGTACGGGATAATCAACTTTTTTGTTGATGTGTAGTAGGTAGATATAACAAATAATCACGCGGCTGATTGATGTATACAACCATAAGCAATTAGATTGTCAGTCAAATGGAGACGACGTTTTGTTGTTTTGTGTTTCAGCACAGATGATGATGAACAGCGTCCGCTCGAACTCATCAATTTTAACCTTTGTCGCCATATTTCATGCACCCTTGTCACAAGATAATTGGCAAACAGCATTTTTTAATTAAGATTATGTCAACAGCTACGAATAAAAAAATACACGTGACATTTGCTACTAAAAATAACAATTTAAAAAACTTACGCATAGCTTCCATGGGTGTTATGGCACTTTCCGTGTTTGCAGGGTTTGTGACGGCACTCGTCCTTGTCGTCCTTGCATGACGATCCTGTAAAACCAGGCGCGCACTTGCACTCGTACGAATCGCCGACCGATATGCACTCTGCACCGTTTCGACACGGTTGCGACGCGCAATGATCCTGTTTTTCGCAGTTCTTTCCTGAAAGAAAAAACAAATGTTAGTAGGTTTTTAATACCTAGTACATATTTTACAATTGATTTAAACCATCTTCACGATGAGATAGAGACTTAAGTGAGTGACATACTTTATGATGGTCGCCCCAAGTTGACGGATTACCTACCTATTTCTTCACAATCAAATAAAAGGGTTTCTCGAGAAGATTCGTCAATCTAATATCAATATGGCGAATACAACTAACAGACTAGGTAACTAAATTTAAGACTTAGAGTTAAAAAATAAATTATTAATACTAATAAAAAAAACTAAAAAATCCGTTTAAACGCATTAAATTTAGCTTTTAAGAACTCTTTGTATAAAATAATATAATTTACTTAAAATATGTGCTATTAATGAACTTGTCACTTCTTAATATTTAAAGACGCTTTTTGGTTACGTTTCTTTAAGAAGCATGTACTTAAAGTAATTTTGACAAAGCGCCCCACGTTTTTGGCATACTCATTAAACATTAAGAAGTTCATATACCTACGTATCTTATTAATTAAGGAAATTAAATTATTTGATCTACTTCCACAACGGCAAACTGTGATTTTATGGCGCTTTAGTCACGGGCTGAAGTTACCAACAGTGGCTTTTGGGCATTTTAGTCACGGGATAAAGTTAGCTTTATTATAAATTGCGAAAAAGTGAGGTTAAATTTGTCAGATGTTGAATATTTAACAATCAAAATTGACTTTAAATTTGTATTTGTGTTGTTGGTCGTAGATAAAGTATAGTAAGCAACTCGTGTTATAAACTTCTCTAGGCACAAGCTTGCAAGCGAGTGTTTAATAAAACGAACGTTTTATTAAACACTCGCTTGCAAGCTTCGCTTCTGCCTAACAAAACTCCTGCCTAAAATGGCGTTTATAAAACTTGATATAAAACTATAAACAACATAAAATATTCAACAATATAAATTGTTTATTTGTTGTTATAATGGCAATATTAAAGTTTAAAACTGTCATACTTTTGTGTTTCTAAATTTTAAAAAGTAGGTACTAAAATTGGTTTTTGAGATGTCCATAAAAAATATACTGTAATAATCAATACAAGCCATGAACATGATCCTCTTTTATTTTACGAGTTTATACACGAATTTTAGAAAGAATATATGAAAAATACCACAAGTGTTATTTCCTCTAGATTTTATTTCATGTTGTTAGCTTAAACATCTGAAATTACTTGTGATGCCTCAGAAAATTATTTATTAAATTTTAAAGACATTCTATGAAAACTCTTCAAATGGAGATACTACCTTAATGAATTGGTGATACGTACAGTGGCATTTAGTGTAAAGACACCTTAAGCTCGATATTTTACGAAATTTATAAATCAATTAGTTAACATAATAGTAAAAATGTCGTTGTGCGATAATTGCAAAGTAATACGGTCGCTTAAAGGCAGCGATTTCAATTGATATAATTATAATATAAATTATACTTATTGTAATCGTTTCCTGTGACAGATTTGGTACACGTATGCGAGAGATTAAATACGTATACGCAAGTCCGCCGTAGTAATAAGTTATTAAAGCGATTCACTTCAGAAAACAACTATGCCAAATTGCCATAAATAGTTTTATAATACTACGTTTTATGCCTTGATTCTATTAAGGCGACTAATTGATTTAATTTGATAAGAATTTTGGTGGTACCGTTAATCCCTTAAAATTAACATTTTAATTGTTTATTAGTTTTAAATAACGGAAAAATACTAAAAACTATAATCCTAACAATTTGAAAAACGAACTCGGTAGGCAAAACGATTGAAAAGTAAATACGCGATTATAATCTTGTATTTAATTAGTCTTTGGACTTAATAAACGCCTAATGGTGGCCGATTATGTAGAAGCTCGGCGAAAAATAAATCAGCGATGTTTAAGCTGGCGGATACAGTTAGTTTTTGATTAATTAAACTTCCTTGTGAGATCGGGCGAGATGATCCCAAGCAGCTATGGTTGGGTGCTGTGCGACAAGTACGCGAAATGAGAAGAAGAGAGGAGAGCCTATTAAATTAAAACACCAACCACTCCGCTGCTGCTGCGAACCGATGTACACACGGATGCTCTCGTAATGATCCTCTTCATTAACTTAAGAATATAAAGAGTTTAATCAAACGACACGGTAGGTTTAACTATGCTACCTTATCCGACTTAAAACAGGTGTCGTTTATCTTGAAACCGTCAAATTTTCAGTTTTTTCCGCATCCTGAAATGCTCATTCATGAATTTCCTTATTCTCAAGCTCATAAGAAAATATTTTTATATGCTAAACAGCATATTGTTATGGCCTTTTTTGAAGTGGTATAATTTTTACCAAATTTCCATTCCAAATTTTCGTGCATAAATCGGTGGGTCATTGATTAATATTAATATATGCCGTGTTGCAACCGTTCTATAAATCCCTGTGGTGATAGTAAAGAGCTACCTCCATAATTCAAACGGGTATGGACCAGATTTTTTATTTGATAAGCCACGAAGACGTCGACCAGGCCAGCCAACCAAAACAACACAACACAATAGAAAGTTTTTTGACTATCAATATATTATTCTCCTAATAACCGTTTATGGTAGAGAAGAAGAACCACGAAATGCAAATTATGCGGGCAGCGGCGCGAAGATAGTGGAAGATCGGCAACGATAAATCTGTGAAATATAGACGCACTACTTGGTGTATAATTTTATTACAGTTGTGCGCCCGGGGAGACAACCCAAATCTGTAATTACGACTGTCGTTATCGATTCTCTAAAACGCAACCATAGATGTTCCCGAAGCAATTTTACACCGTCATTTGGAATTTCAACTGGCAAATTATATCACAAGCATGCTGCAAATTGATTATTTAACCCAATTTTTGAGTGCCGTCCTTCAGTCATTAGTGATAAATCAAATGATTAAGTTATTTTACATTTTACAGTATCTATATTCGGCCATTCACCAACTGATTTACAACACAGTTGTTGACACTATTTTGTAACTTGATATTGGTATAACAAGATTTTTTAGCTCTTAACAAAGTTCATATAATTGACATTTACGTTCTATTGGGAGGAGTTTTCGATGATTTATGTTCATCATGAAATACGCTATTATAGTGTATATAATTATAAATTATAATTATAATTTATAATATAACATCTCAAAGTACATACATTGTATGTCGTACATCTATTTTTATTTCAATCGTACTGACATTATTAATTCAACAATTTTTATTTTGAAAGTCGACAGAAACTCGCTTTAGGAGGGGTAAAAAGTCTTATTACATTCCAAAAAGAGCAAAATAAATTTGTCTAAATAGAAGCTGCAACAACAAATTATTTTTGGATTGGCTTTACATGTTAAGCCAATCCAAGGATAATTTATTTTAGCACCATAGCGTCGGCTTTTCATGCATACAAAATGCTTCATTATAAGTTTACGAACAAAAATTATATTAATTTTTGCTTTTGGTTAACATAATCATACAAAATCTCTTAAATGAACTAAAATGCCAAAAGATTCTAGACAGTTTCTATAGTGGACACCATTAAATCCAAAATTATTAAATAAAAATTTAAGCAACGAATAATTATGATCGCAAGTGCAAGAGTGTTCAATTTTTTTGAGTTTTGGCCTTACTTTGTTCACAAAGAGACCTTGAGAATATTTTTTATCATATCAAAAATAACCTAAAAAATATATATAAAATATTTAAATTCTTACCGGTATATCCTGGAGCGCAGTAGCATTGATGGGTGTCGAGGGTCATCGTGAGGAGGCAGGTCCCGCCGTTCAGGCAGGGTTTTCTATCACAGGAATTAGCTATCGGGATCTCGCAAAGTGACGCGCTGTAGCCGAGCGGGCACAGGCAGGTGAAGCTGGGGGAACCGCCGGCGGATATCCCCTCGCGCACTTGACACGTACCGCCGTTCTGACATCGCGGACCCTGACCCGTATGACAGGGGTTCAGGTGTTGACAGTACTCTCCTACAAATTTCTTCGTACAACTGAAACAAAACCAAATTGTTAGAAATTACCTTTCAACACTTGAGTGATTAAGGGGATCTTCTTTACAAAGAAACCGAAGTAAAAACGATTTTAAAAACGATATACTTAAAACTTAATATTTTCCCAGCCTCGCGAAGGCTTGCTCATGACATTCTTAATTTGTGCCCACTTCAATTCATTTGGTTAAAGTAACTCTAATTTTGCACAAGGCCGATTTGCATATTAGGAAAGTTAGTCTATATATACCTACTATAAGAACAAGCAACATAATTTTTATGTTATGTAAAGATTAGAAGTTGCATGTATAGTGTTAACTTGAGGATAACTGCTGGTATGTAGGTACTATGGTTCTTGTCAAACGTAAAGAAAGGATATTGCTACTAAAACCAATTTGAAAAATTATCTGATACAATTTAATTTTTTTATTTAATGAAGTTATTGAAGCTGAACAATGTTTTTTCAAAAATCCTTTAAATCAGCTTGATTTTTTAAAATATTTGTTGAGAAAAAATTAAGTAGGTGTTGCGTCGCCGACGTTATGTTGACAACGCTTTGTTGCTATGGTATTTTTGGTAAGACAGTTTTTATAAGCTGTCAGAATGTTTATCATAAATTTAAAATTCGTCGTACGTTTCGAAAATGAGTTCTAGCAAAGAAGACCTGCCGCAAGATCTTGCTAAAGAGGCAAGAATAGTTGCAATTAATTTCCTTTCTTAAAAATCGAAAGAGCGATATGAAAATGAATACTCATAGTTTGTTAAAAGAATGGTTGGACAAGCGCGGAGTAAATCTTTTTCCTACAAAATCAAATTGGGCTAGACAAGGTAAAAAACTCTTGCTAATGTAAAATTGTAAAAAAAAAGGGAGGAAAATTAAGTTTTCTAGTAAGGTATACCTTACTAGAAAACTTAATTTATACTAATTTATACTATACTATAGTAGAAAAAAACCTTTATTTTATCTATTGTTTTTATATAAATAATAATATAATCTTCAAGCGGTCTATACTCAACACTGAAGTGAGCCCCATAAGAGTATACGATTATTCACAAAGATGGGGTTTGCGTCATAATCTCGAGTGTAATACTATACTTTATCTACTATAATAAGTAGATAATTAAATGACTTTCAATAATAAATAAATAAAATCTTACATCTGTCAAATGGTTAACCTCACTTTTTAACAATTTTATTTATTAATTGTTAAATATCACAGTAAATATTAAAATCGGCCAATCACTGATGCAACGTAAATAATGAGTTCATTCCCGTTGTTAGGCAAGAAATTTATAATATTTATCATGATGACAAATGTTTTACTTATTGTTAATTTTAAAAATTGTTTTAATGGGTCTTTTGCGTAAGTATACTTATATTTAGTGTTATAACACCTTTAGGTGTCAGTGACTGGCCGATTTCATTATTCACTTACAAGAATGGCATTAAATTGTGAAAAAATATTGTATGCAAAGAAGGTTTTTTTTTGTGCATAAGCCCACACATGACTTTTTGCAAAAAGACTCACTTCTTGGCCTAATAACATAAATAACTATTTCATGGTATGTTTTTAAATATTGTTAACTAATTTGGTTTAAATTTCAGATGATTGATAATGGAGTAACTTATCAAAAATTTTAAAAACGCTCTTCTATTAAAATAAAAATTAAACGTTGGTTTGTTTCCACACCGACATATTTTCTAATTAAAAAGTTTTTATCAAGAATAATTAGCCATAATTCGGACCGGTCACGAAATATATATTTATAAGCCGTTGTTTGGTATAATTTTACTTGGTTTTTTTTTGGAAGAACGAAAAGAAGCAAAAGACCTAGGGCTGTCATGTCGACTGCAGTTAACCAAAGCTATGCGTGAAGTGGGTAATTGCTAAAATTATTATGAGTCTTACCGACCACTTTTTTTTACTGTATACGCTATATTGTACTTATACACATAAATAGTTCGGCAACTTTAGGAAGAATCATTGAAGCTGATGCCGATTTTTTTTCTCTATGTTCATCTTCGACCATCTGCTCGTCGGCATGAATAAGATCGGAACAATACCTGAGTGTTTATCGGAATAGATGAACGTTTCTCGCACAAAAGCGACAAATTTAGCTCATTAACGTGACTCGAGTCTCGAACATCTTGCAAACTTATCGACTATACCTTTTGAATTAGGAACGTTGATTTACAAAAGCTGCTTTTACTGTTAACAATAAAATTTAAACATGCAAATTTTTAAATGTGCAAACACTTTGTCATTATTTTTTCCTTAATTAAAAGCCTCACTAGAACTAATCTTCCGGCATGACTTAAACATACTATTGACTATAATGATTTTGCCAAGTAATGTTTAACGTATTAATTAATTTTTACCAAGTATGTTGTAATCGCATCTTCTCATTACGTATTTTTTCTGTGTATATTTAAATTAAATATCATAATAAAGTAAAACTTTTGCATTGCGCAATGATGTCTAAAAATGTTGGTTGCATTTATTTTAACTGGACTAGCAATACGTTCACACGATATTCATTAGCAAAAACTAGTACTATTACAGTCTTATACACTACTCAAAACAACTACCCATAGAATATTTCCACAAATGAGAATAGAAATAAGTTTTTAGTATTAAACAGCGTGTTTCGCGTTGTTGCTTATGTTTATTTATTATGATTAAGGTTTAATTTAATTAAGTTACATATAATCACTTTTAAATTTACTTAATATACACAATCTTTCTATAAAGCCTTGATAAAATAATTGAGCTCTAATTTTATTTCCCATTGAAACATTTGGTTATAATGAAAGAAAATAAATTGTGATCTCGACTAGTGGGAAATAAAACTCCCTACACTCTTAGAAAAGACCTGGTATTTGCAATGAAAATTTAGTTCCCGGAACCAATTTTATTAGTGAAAATAGGCACAACAAAAAAATATGTTGTGGGAACTAATACAAATTTGTTTTTACAGTTTGTTGTCGGAACAGCCAACAAGTTTAAGTGCATCGAAATTAGTTTTTTTTTCATACAAATAATTGTTATTTAATGCAATCACATTAGTCTGTCATTTTAGCAGCGTCTAAGTTGTAACAACTGCACTTGCTATTTATCGCAACAAACATTGTATCATGCAGGAATTTATTTTTTAATTGAAATTACATGAAAAAAGGTACATTTAAAGAATTTAATAGTTGATATAATAAATAAATTAAATGCTTGCATTAGTAGCAACAACAAATTGGTATTATTCCACAGTACATACCTGCTTAGTAAATATAACACTTTTTGTGTAAATATTATAAAAAATAGAGAAAGGAAATTCATGCCCGTTCGTTTTATAAATATTTATTATAAATTAAAAAATAACAATATAACTGAAAACACCAAATTTTGGTTTAAACATTATAACAAAAATTAATAATTACTATAAGAAAACATTTATAAATATTTTAACAATAAAACAAAAACGATTCTTTGGTAAATATACACATATAGGTAAATTAAGATGAAAGTTGACTATACTTCTTCAATAAACCGTGATGTTTACGTGAAGTGCAAGCCTTTGTTTAACAACTTAACAATGATTCTTAGGTACAACGTAACATACTTGCATGATAACAGGGGTAAGAATTCGAAATTCCGACGTGATGGAGACTTTTGGTGGGCACCATTGGATTCAGGAGGCCATTTTCAGTCGGAATGGCATTTTCACATTTTTGAATTTTTTTTCGGACCCCAAAACTACAATAGTGTAATTAAAGGAGTGCAATAATAATACCTAACCTTTAAAAACTGGAACCAATTCAGGTAAAACCCATGTTCCTAATAAATCTGCTACTTTAGTCCGCTTATCCATATTATTTGTTCGAGATATCTATAATGTAGCGAGTACCGCTCTGGATATCGAAGTGATGACTCATCGCCGATGAGTCATCGCCGGTGAGTCATCCCTGGTGACTCAGCGCTCGAATAATCGAGAGTGTGGAGCTCGCTGGAATGTTCCAGAAGACGTAAGCGCTGTAATGTATAAGAAACGGAGCAGCACAGAGCAGTTAGTTGAGCTTTGGTGCTCGCGAAGAAATAAATAAATATAAGTGCAAATAAATAAACTAGCAGTGATATAAATAATAAGTAGTGTTTAGTTAGTTTTATAGTGTTTTAAGTGTAGTTAAGTTATTAAATAAATAGTTTAGTTCGTTAATTAACCAGTGCGTGTTTTAATTCACACTACGAACAGTTAAAAACGTTACAATAAGTAACCAACACATAAGAATATATTCTTATATATATGAATAGTGAAAAATTATGTCGCCACTGAATTTACAGGGGCAAATGACTAATTGTAATAAACTAGTTTCTTACCTAAAATATACACAACACACGAGCTGATACACAAATACAAAAGAACAAACACCACCGTCTGGACGCCGTGCAACACCGTTTGTTTACAGGTTAAAAGTAAAGCACGCGCCGGGCTGGACAAATCGCGCGCGAAATGCACAAAGTTTGCAGTTGCATTAACCTACAGAGACAACATCCCCAACTGACACTTTGTTTCACACCGCTGGTGTCTTAGCTGTATGAAAAGTGACGCATAGTTTATACAACCGAACCGTTAGTTCCACGGACTAATTTCAGTCAGTTGAGAATGTTACTTAAATATTTGGTCCAAAAAAAACATTTTACCGCCGTAATGATTTTTTTGAGATAATGTTGTCAATACTTCTAGCCAACACAAAGTTTCAGTTAAAATAACTTAATCGCCTTTTTGCAGTAAATAATACTCCACAACAAAACTAAATCTTTTCAGGTAATGATGCAAGCAGTTACACATATAAAGGTACTGATTACAAAAAACAAAAAATGTTATTTTCTGCAACAGTTTTACCCCAACGATAATAAGTTAGTTGCAAATACCAGGTCTTTTCTAAGAGTGTAGGTAATTATTCCTGTAAACAGACACTAAATTAAGGTTTTTTACTTTGATCCAATTTA